TTCTGAAATGGGCATTTCCCCTCAGTGTTTGCAGCCCAAACATTGGGCTGGCATGTGAGAACCCAAAGATGTAAACTGGTTAGAAACAAAAGTGAAATTGGTCTTGTGTTTCTCAGCTCTGCCCGTGAACAGAAAAGTAGGTGCATGATGTATAAAGTGGAGAGTACAAGGGAATACTTTTCCAGTAGCCTGAGGAGCTGCTTGTATCCACTTTTAGAATTTTTTTTTTCTCAGTGATAATTTTAACTTTCACATCTCTTGGGTCAGCATTAATGGTTGTTAAAATCTAAATATTGTTTGTCATGACTTCCTGAAATAGCGAACGTGGGTAACAAATTTTATATTCTTCTACTAGTTCTGCATCTAAATATAGAGTGGCTATATCTAAATTTAAAGAGTTCCCTGTGGGAGTATTTTATTGGCCGGGATCAATTTAAAATGGGGCAAAGGGACCCCTGTGCTTGTTTTCAAATTAAGATACAGTGTCACTATTCAAACAACCCTGTGAGTAACCTTAGAGCAACACAGCTGTGACTATGTAGTAAATAGGGTGTCTTTTTTCAAATTTCCAGGGTGTTAATTAAGATGGGAATAGAGACTATAGAGGGCAGATTAGTGATTATTTTTTAATTGGGTATATTGTATCTTAATAGCAAGGCCTTTCCCAGCTGCCCCTTTTCTGGAATATACCCATTTATCTCTGGTTCATTTACCAATAAACTTTGCGGCAGGGTTAGTTTGGCCTCCTGCTAGGGCTAATCTCTTACTGAGTAAACAACACAAAGGTTCTTGGAGTCTTTCCTATTTCCTTAAAGAGATCAAATTTAGCCAACTGGAGTGTATATTTGTGGACTAGGGGTGGAAACAGAGAGAGATGTCTCCAGATACTGCCACAGATCTTAAGTTTCTTGGCCCTCTTTTGTCATTTCTCCATCTGTTTGCAGTGTGCTTTCCTGCTTCTTCAATGGATTTTCTCCTTGTAGTTGTCTAGGAGGAAAAAACAAACAGAAAAAAGAAAGGGCTGTACATGGGGAAACTGACTCGGCACACATTAAATTAGAAAAATACCTTCTTCCCTCTTATTTTAGCCTTTTGTAACACTGAGGCCAAGCCTGTCAGAGCAGCATCAAATGAATAGGTTCCCAAATCCCATAGGCAGTCTTAAAATATCTGAAGCAGGGTGTGTGTAGTGGGGGACTCAGTTAGCATATTGTTTGACGTGGTTGTTTGGCTGGACTTCTCTTAATCTTTGAGACTGATCAGAGGTCTGGAAAGCATGATTTACAAGAAAAGGCTTGAAAAAACTGGGATTATTTAGTCTGGAGAGGGAAAAACAGGTGGGAGGAGAATTTGGCATTAGTCAAAAACACAAGGGATTATTATACAGAGGACCTTTATCGACTGCTCTGTGGGTTTGCAGGGAGGGAACAAGAAGTAATGGGCTTAAATTGAAGCAAAAGATATTGAGGGGTGGGTATTAGGAAGAACTCTCTCCCTAGGAGAGTGATTTTAAGCACTGGAACAGATGGCCTAACTGCATATAAACATCCAAGGATAGTGAATGTACAGCTTCTCTAGGTAAACACTTGACTGAGAGTTTAAAAAGGGATGATTCTGCCTTGAGAAGGGGGCTGGGGTAGATGACTGCTGGAGGTCCCTTCCATGCTGCTTCTTCTATGATTCCAACAGACTTGCTGGTGAAGCTAAAATCATACTGATTCAGGGTTGGTAACTGTGAATGTGACCAGAGTAATTGTCACACATGCCTGCATTGATCAGACTGCAGACTAAATCTTGAACTGCTCTCTAACAGGTGCAGGGTGCACTCTGATTAACGTCACTGTGCTGTGTGAAGGGCCCTATTTCTATAGTAACTAATGTAACTTCAGAAGGTAATGTGATTAAACACAGAGAAATGCAGTGAGATGGCCTAAACAATGGCAGTGCAGCAAAACCAGCCCCCAGCATTCAGAAGTCACGAGGTGGATCCTAGAGAAATAATGAGATTTGTCTTAAGCAGGCATCAGATTTTATCCCCCCCCCCCCCCCCAAAATTTTTTAA